ATTCCTATCAAAGGTCCAATTTATCAACAGGGAAATATGAAGGTATTCAACTTCTGGGAAGGTGAACACTATGAAAAACACTGGTCTAATCCCCCAAAAACACATGAAAAGAATATTCACAACCGTTAACAAGAATGAGGCAGTATTATGCATACTTACAAGGACAGATCTCCAAGACAATAAAAACTTGCAGATAGGTGCATGTATATCTTTAAGATTAAAATAAAACAACAGCAATAATAACAACATCTACAATGATGCTATATCAAGGTGAGACATATGTGCATGAAGTCTGACAATTAAGTTTGCAAACTCATCCTAGAGAAAGTGCTCCATGTCTTGTTCTTGACTATCACTGCAGTTACCAGATGGCCAAGGGGAAAACTCAAAGGTGACCACAGTGACTTTTAGCAATGAGGTTATGTAGCACTTTTTTTTTTTAGAGATAGAATTTCAATTTTGTCGCCCTTGGTAGAGTGCTATGGCATCACATCTTACAGCAACCTCCAGCTCTTGGGCTTAGCCGATTCTCTTGCCTCAGCCTCCCTAGTAGCTGGACTACAGGCACTTGCCAGAATGCCTGGCTGTTTTTTTTTTTTGTTCTTGTAGTTGAACTGAGGCCAGGTTCAAACCCCCCACCCTTGGTATATGGGGCCTCAAACCCACCACCCTTTGTATATGGGGCCGGCACCCTACTCACTGAGCCACAGGCGCCACCCGTTATGTGGCACCTTTTCTAGGATGAGTTCATAAACTTAATTGCCTAACCTATGTGTCCAGAAAAAGGTTTGTACCATACTGATTATAATGGTTACCCTGATGAGGCTAGAAAGGAGATTAGGATTGTGGATAGTCATCAGAGGAAACTTGAACTATAATATTTCAATTTTTTTTTTTTTGAGACAGAGTCTCACTATGTTGCCTTCAGTAGAGTGCTATGGCATCACAGCTCACAGCAACCTCAAACTCCTGGACTTAAGCCATTCTCTTGCCTCCTCCCAAGCAGCTGGGACTACAGGCACCTGCCACAACACTCAGCTATTTTTACGTTGCAGTCGTTTAGTTGGCCCAGGCCAGGGTCGAACCCACCACCCTTGGTGTATGTGGCTCATGCTGTAACCACTGTGCTATATGGGATCCAAACCAATATTTAGATTTTTTTGAAGAACATATTATTTAGAAGTTTTAAAACTTAATTTTTTTTTTTTTTTTGAGATAAGAGTTGCCCTAGGTAGAGTGCCATGGCATCGTAGATCACAACAACCTCAAACTCTTGGGCTCGAGAAATTCTCCTGCTTTAGCCTCCCAAGTAGCTGGTATTATAGGCACCTGCTATAACCCCTGACTATTTTAGAGATGGGGTCTCACTCTGGCTCAGGCTGGTCTGCAGCCTGTGAGCTCAGGCAATCCAACTGCTTCGGCCTCCAAAGTGCTGGGATTATAGGTATGAGCTACCACACCTGGCCTTAAAATTCACTTGAGCCCAAGAGTTTGAGGTTGCTGTGAACTATGACACTGTGGCACTCTATTAAGGGCAACAAAATGAGACTCTGACTCAAAAAAAAAAAAGAAGGAAAGAAAGAAGAAAAACGTTCATAACTGTTGGCAAACAGTCGACCTGATCCTTAGGAAGGCTGGGTAAGTTTATTAAATAGATATGATCCTATGGCTCTCTATAAATATTCTGTCTGAAACAGACCACATAAAGGATGCCCATGTATTGCAGAAGTACAAATATCGTCATGTGCAAGGTGAGTAGTTTGGGACTAGACTTTTTTTTCCCAATAGGCTTATAATATTTGAATTTGATTGATAGTGTTCTAATATTTCTCTGGGGCTTTATGAGTTTTAAACTATCTGATTTGAGTCTCACAGCTGTTCTTAATAGGGTGAGACGTGTCATCCTCACTTCATAGCTTAGAAAATTGGGGTTCAGAACAATTAAGTGATTTATCAAAAAATCTATATCAGTAATGGAGCAGAACCCTTATATTTTCCAGGAGCTGAATGCTTTGTCTAATTTCTCCATTCTCAACAAATCCAACTGTAATAGTTTAATAGTAGCTCTCAGATTTCATCTTCTTGCTAGCTGAGTTCACATTTTGGCAGTCCCCTTTATCTATTTCCTCCTACTTGAACCGAAGTGGCTTGACTCAAAAATCTAAAATTCCCTTTCAGAGCAGTCATTTCTACCAAGGAGTCGTTATAGCCAGTAGGAAGTTTGCTTTCTACAGCAACACTCAGCTTCCATGCTGGCTCCAGTTGCAAGTGACAAATGACACGGTGCTGCCTGGTGACAGCTGGTGCTCTGTTACATCCTGTTCATGTTTCCTGATGGATCCATATCCTGTTATTTTCTCTTATCCCACAGTAGCCTCTCAGTGAACATGCACTTGGTAAGCCCCTCAGCCTCCTGCTGTAGCCAGGGCAGGACATATCTAGGTGGAGTAACACACTTTTAAAAGTAATACACCTCTCATGAGAATCGACACTTCTGAAAACAGACCCTCACTCTTCGCCTTACCCCTCCAAATCTGCTCCTTCCCTACCCCTCCACCTTGGTCAGTGGCAACTCAACCTTCACAGTCGGTAAACCCAAAACCTTCAAGTCTCTTCTTTCTTTTACGTGCTACTTATGATGCTTTAGCAAATCTCATTGGCTCTATCTTCAAATTCCATCTAGAGTCCAGCCACTTATTACCATCTTGATTGCTGCCACCGTGGTCTAAACCACTGTCACTTCTCACCTGTATCATGAGAGTGGCCTTCATATGCATCTCCCTAAAACAGCCTTCGGAACCCAGTTTCTTTTCTTTTTTTTTT